CAAACTCCTTCACCCATAATTTTTAGAAAATACCGCCACCAGTGACCTATTATCGCATGGGTCTGATTATGAAAAACAATCGATTCAAGCGTGCCTTCAAAATGAAACCCAGAGATACTTTAAAGAACGTGTCATGCAAACCTAAAAATATTTACCCACGATCAAACGTGCCTCCAAAGCCAAACCTCTGAAAATCGCATCCAACGAGACTGATTGAAATCGTTGCAAGTAACCAAACAGGCCATCGAGGAATTACTACTAGGTATTAACCTTTAAAGTTTATACTATTTAGGAAGAAAAAGAAATGCCGCTACACAAAGCGTCCCTTGGTGGCGCGATGGGCCGTGCAGTTGTCGTTCCAAAGGAAAAGGAAAATTGGCAGCTGGTTGTGGTGTTCGCCGCTCGCCACCGACTTTCCCGGCGCCACCGCACCGTGCGCCGGCCCCACCGGCGGCGGCGATGGGTAACTCACAGGCGTCTCCCTCGTCCGCCTCCTCTGCCAGCTTCGTCACGGCCTCCAGGTACCACAGCTTCGAAGCGCTGGGACCGCCACGGCAGCTGCTGCTTCACCCCAGCAGCAATTCGCGAGGATCATGCGGTGATCTCATCGCTCCGTCTCCGCTTTCTGTAGGGCCTTCTCGAAGCAGGCGCTGGACGACCTGCGCGCGCACTTCTCCTCGCTCGCCGCGCAGTCGGGGACCCAGGGGCGCGCCATATCCCGCCCCGTTTTCCTTGTGAGCTCGCAGCCGCAAAAGTTTGCAACTGGGATTGGATTCGGGTGGATCCGGAATCCGTTTTCTGATGGGAAGTGATCCATCTTACGCAGGATTATTTCGGGGTACGTGGGGCGCTCGGCGATAGGCTATTCCAGTTGGTGGCGAAGGAGAGCAGCGTGGAAGATGGAGTCACCTTCGAGGGTTTGATCGTCTCCAAAGTTGGCACCCTTGTCCTACCGCTTGCTTCAGTTCGTTAGTTCCCTTTTGGAAGTCGTGGTGGATTGGACAAATTTGTTGGTATAGGCTGCATTTGTACTGCAAAATAAGTACGAGTTAAAAGAAAAGGGAGAAACGCGTTTCTACTTTCTATGTCATAGTATGATACTGGATGCTCTGCTTGATTTTAGACTGATTTTAAGTTGCTATCTTGTCGTTGTTCGTGGTGTTTTATTGAAACTGATTGCTATTGGTACTTCTTATGCACGATTAGCTTGGTTGGATACATATGCACACTACTTCAATCACATAAACCTTAAGTCTTCAGAAAGAAAAAACTTCCGATAACAGTTTTATTGTTCTTCAGTTGCTATGCTAATTCATCCTTTAGTAATGAACTTCATATATTTTATTCGTATTCAACACAAAGTTTTCCTTCCAATGCTAGGGAATGCCATAAGTCTTGCTAGGTCTTTTCCTTCATGCTCTGTTGTTTGATATCCATCTCTTTGTAACATGTAGGCAACATATGAAAGGGGAACTAAAGATGAAGCCGATGAGTTCATTTTTCAACTGTGCGATGTGATGGGAGATAGTATCTTAACAAGGTATTTCTTGAATGTGCTGGTAGAATTGAGTCTTCTTCTGATATGTTGGTATGTCAGTTGCCAATATTTTACCCCTTAGATGATGATTTTGTTTATGTTTGTAACGAAAGCTGCACTTCCAAATATTTTTTCAGCGTATCTGTCCTTAGATATTTGTATTCAGGACTCTAGGTTTTTCAGAGTATCTGTCTTAGATATTTGTATTCAGGACTCTAGGTTTTTCAGAGTATCTGTCCTTAAATATTTGTATTCAGGACTGAAGGTTTCACTTGACGAACCACTTACTCCTACGTTTCTCTTTCATGCATTGTCAGGTCTGATCTGGCAGCTGTATTGGCGTCCATTCATGAAACCATATTTGCAGATAATAAGGAAGCCAGGGAAGGTTCAAACAAGAGTACATTTGAAGCATTTCTCAACTCTGCGGTATTTTCGAAAGATGCTGGAGGGGTCTCTGAGAAATCTATGTCATTATCAGACTTTAGAAACTGGTGTATTGTCATGCCATCACTGAGGAAATTCCTTGGAAGTTTGTTGATGCCCCCTGACTCAGGTATGTGTTGCCATTCTGCAGATTTTCCAAAAAAAGATGTGTATTCTTTGTAGCTGCATCATGACAGAAGTGTGCTCCTATTTATCGCACTAGAATAATTAATTAATTATGCTTTTAATAGTCAAATATGATCTTGCTTGAGTTCATATACATATGAACAGTACAACTGTCGTTTCCTTCAAACTGTTCCTCCTGGCTCTCTAATTCGCCTTTTACTGACCCACTCAACAGGCAAGTGCAGTTTGTGCTGTTTTGCAGTCGCACTGCTCTGGAGCACCAAAGTATCTGTTATGTATGTGAAAAAAGCAAGACACGTAGTTGATAAATATTTACTGCTGTTGAGGTACTACTAGTCTGAAATAGTGAAATCACCATTCACCAGAGTTTTAAGACCATAAAAAGTAAATAATCTTGAGATACTACTGTTGTCAGTCCTAGACTTCTAGCAACAAATCTCAGCTCTCTATCTTTCTCAAATACACTATTTGGTGCTGATCATACTTGAGCGGACGTAAACTAGGCTTATATTGCCACTGTTTCCTGTTTTAGGGTAAGTCTGAATCTGAAACTTCTATTGGTGAAGATTGAAGACATGATGCTGTTGCCAAGAGGCAAAGTATGTCAATATGTCTTTACTAACACAATTTAAAGAAATCACTTCAACAATCTATGATCCAATTAAGTAAACGTGCTATACATAGGTGATTCCACATGTCCGTTTGAATGGGATAGCAAAAGCGTGCAACTGAGTGAACCTGAAAGCAGACTGCAACACATTGTTAACATGGGAACCAGCATATCAGACAGAGCCCTTGTACTAGGCAGTTGCTAACTTTTTCTTGCTCGGGTCTGTGAGTGTTGCCAACAAGGCACATGGTGTTGGCTACTCTGCCGGAATAAGGTGGTCAATGGCTGCAGATGACCTTGTTATAGGAAGCGTCTATGGCTTTACTTAAAGATTGACCTGTCAGCCTGTATAAGAGAGCCTCTCTCTTTTTGAAACTTATGAGACCATATCTCTGTGTATTCGTGTTCATTCATTCCAAGCGAGCCTAGAAACATCATTCTTATCCCACCCCATTAGTTTTCACCACACGTCCACACTCTTGTGTGTCATTTTCTTACCTACATGTTTGTTACTCTAGCATGTTTTTAGTATTAAATTTGTTTAAACTGAATAAAAACATGTATTCTCTGTTCCCAAATCTGATTGTAGAAATATGAAAGCCAATCCTAACCTGGATGTTTATGTTATATTTTTTTATGCTTCTGTTGAGTTGTTCTATTTTGTAGGCAGAGCCGGCTTCCAGGTACCTCTACTTCATTATCCAGAAAACATGTCCTCCGAGTTGCTACTCTTAAATAAAGAGTATGCTTGGCATATAGGAGGTGGCTTCTCTCAACATGATGTGCAAGAGTGGAAGCTTCTATACCACAGTTCTCTTCATGGACAAAGCTTCAACACTTTCTTAGGCAATGTAACGTGAGTACTGTTGATGTTCTGGTCATTTTCAAGGCTCGATTCTTAGGCTAGAAGGGCAAAAGAGCATTTTTCAACTTAGGGGCAGAAATGAGCAGTGTGTTACAACTAAAGGGCAGAAAATAAATAAAAACCTAAAATATATCTTGCACTGATGTTCTCTATATAGATTCTGTGAACAAGCTTGACGGCTTATTCCATGATGGCGACTTTTATGTGTAGATTTTTCACTATGTACATAATTTTTGGCATGTTCCTTATTTTATAGGAATGGAGATGCACAGACTGTTTTGGTTATTAAAGATACAGAAGGTTCCATTTATGGTGCATATGCATCACAACCATGGGAAAGGCACAGTGATTTTTATGGTGACATGAAGACATTCCTTTTCAAGTTATATCCCGAAGCGTCCATATTTCGCCCTACTGGAGCAAACAAAAGTTTGCAATGGGTAGGCCTATCTTGTCTTTCTTTATTTACTGAATGTATTGTCATTCATCGTCCCAAGTTTGAAGTGGTGCAGGAGCGATTTTTCACAATTAGCTTATTTTGACAGTGTGCTGTGAACTTCACCTCTGAGAACATTCCAAATGGTATCGGCTTTGGAGGGAAGCCACATCACTTTGGCCTTTTCCTCTCTGCGGGCTTCGATCAAGGGCACTCATTTACCTCCAGCACATTCACCAATCCTCCCCTTTCCAACACGAGCAGGTTCAGACCAGAAGTTATTGAATGTTGGGGGATACAAGTGAAGGGATCGAATGACGAGAAGCCGGAGCTTGTAAAGGGGACGGTCCTTGAGAGATTCAAGGAGGATCGGAACATGCTGAAGCTGATTGGTATGGCGAGTGCGAGTGACTGAGCACTGAAAAAAAATCACAATAGCAGATATTTGGAGGTTGTGTACAGCACTCTTTTTATGGGAAATAATAACCTTATTTATATCTGGTCGCTACTCTTGAGTTTTAGCTCTTTGAGCTTTTCTGTTTCACATCCAGAGTGATACAAGGTTAGCTGCATGGAGTTGTGGTTTATACTGTATGGATCCAGGGCGTACTTTTCTTCCAAGTTCGAGAGCAGGGAGTAAGGAGCTGTTCTGGAAACCACCAGCTCCGCCAAATCCAAGGATCCGCGGAGTACCTGTTTATACCGAAAAAGGGTTTCCCCCGTTTTGTATTCCAAAGCAACCAACACCGAGTATAGATAACGCTGTAGCGAGCAGCAGAACACACCAAGAGAAAAAAAAGAAGAAACAAATGCCAACGACGGCAGCTTGGCAAAGCGTGGATGATCCGCCACCGCGGCGCCCACCGGAAACAAAACACCACAGACCGAGGCTTCGATCCGCCGCGTATCAAGCAACACCTCCAAGAAGGGATGCGACGCCCACGACGCTGCTGCCCGGACGAGTTTTCAGGTTTCTCCGGACACGCGGAGGGAGGTGGGGGTGGATACCACCGACACCCTCCAGGGAGGAATGGTGGCACCTGCAGGTGTCACCGCGTTGGGGCTGAAGCCAGCAGAGATTTCTCCCGCATTCCAACCCCAACCGCCCAACCGAACGGAACCGACCGCCCAACCGTCGCCCATCACCATGCACCAACGCAGTAGCGCCGCCACCCACGCCGCCTCACTACGAACACCGCCACGAGGCCAAAAGGACCGGAGAGAAGCTCACCACGACGGGAGCAGCAACATCGACGCCGAGCGGGAGGGAACCACCTCCACCGCCGTTGTGCGGGAGGCCCGTGCCTCCGGCACCGTCGCGGTAGCCGTCTGGACGCGGCAGCGGGGCATGCCGGGCCACCCCTGGCCCAGCCAGGCCCGAAGAGGGTGCGTTAAGCCCCGCCGGCCGCGATGCAGCAGGCCGGCGTTGTAAGTGCATCTAGTGCCACCCCTAGTTGGTTTTGGAGTATTGACGACAAACCTAATTGAGGGACTAATGTGTTTGTGAGAATTGCAGGATAACACAGGTAGAAGTCCCTCATTGATTCGGTTTTTCCTATCAGAGATGACCTCTAAAAATGTATGAAGACATTGAAGTCAAAGGTGGTATATGAAGATATTCACATTGAAGACTATGACAAGAGAAGACACCACATGAAGCCTATGGAGCTCGAAGACTTAGATCTTTCGTAGTTCTCTTTCTTCTGTGTTGAGTCATAGGAACCACCGTACTGTTAAGTGGGGTCCAAGAGAACCAGTCAGAATGACTGAAGTGATGCTTAAACAAAACCTATGTCTTCGAGTGAAGACTTTGAGAGCGAATCTTGTCCAGAGTCGGGCAAGTCAGCTTTGCTTGAAGCCCAAGTAAAGTTGTCGTGTGAGTTTGAAATCTGACCGTTGGAACACGTGTTAGTTCCTTAGTGACCCAGGGTCATTTCGGACAAATCAGGTCGGGTTGCCAAGTGGCTATAAATAGCCCACCCCCTACAACCATAAACGGTTGGCTGCTCAGATTCAGAGTACGGCTTTTGTCGTTTGAGAGCAACCCACCTTGAAGCCTTTGAGAGAGAATTCCTTGCGAGGATAAAGCCCTAACCACCCAGAGCCAAAGAGAATTAGGCATCACTTAAGTCTTCTTGTCTGTGTGATCTAAAGACTTATTACACTTGAGGACTGTGCATCCTCCAGCCGGTTAGGCGTCGCATTCTGAGCATCCAAGAGACATTGTGGATTGCCGGTGAACGAAGTCTGTGAAGGTTTGGGAGTCTACCTTGAAGACTTACCAGAGTGATTGGGCGAGGTCTGTGTGACCTTAGCTCAAGGGGAATACGGTGAGGACTGGGTGTCCTGAGCTGCGTGTTCAGGACTGGGTGTTCGGGACTGAGTGTCCTAAGATTTAAATGCCTAGCCGCCCTAACCAGACGTACAGTTGTCACAGCAACTGGAACCGGTTCAACAAATCATTGTCTTCAGCGAGTCACTGGTTTCATCTTCCCTTCCCTTTACTTACTGTTACTTCTTGTGAAGTCATTGTATGTTCGCACTATCTTTTGTCTTCACTGAGTGATTGCTTGTTCTGTGTGGCTTCACAATATCTTCCTACCTGATCCTTACTACATTGCTTCTATTAGTCATTGTGCTTTCACTCTATTGAATACTTGACTATGGTTTGCCTAGTGTAGTCTACCTTCCGCTGCAGGGTAATAGGTTTATTTCTATTGTTTGTCTTCATAACTTCCACGTTTTGAAGACTTACATAAAAATCGCCTATTCACTCCCCCTCTAGTCGATATAACGCACTTTCAGGCGTCGTCGCCACCGGCACCCGGCCACGCGCCGCATCTCCCCCGCCTCCCAGAAGCCACACCGGAGCCATCCCTGCCGCCAGCCCGCCCAGGCCCAGATGAGGCCTGCAGGGCCCAGATCTGGGCCAAGCGGACGACGCCAGATCCCGTCGCCGCATCGCCCCGCCGCCAACGGCGGCGCCGCCGCCCAGTAGCTCGCCTGCATGCGCCACGGAGCCCCGCCGCCACGCCAGACCGCCGCCGCCTAGATGCACCCCATGGAGCCGCTCCGCCCGCGTCGGAGAG